TGGGGTTGTTAACCAATGTCATAAAACAACATGTGTACTACTGTTTCATGAGAAACTATTTGTTCTGTAAGCCTTCACCTGAAGTACAATAAAATATTAAAGAAAAAAAAAAAAGCTCTTCTTTTCTTGGAAAGACCCTCTAAGGTGCCACATTACCTGGAGATGAAAGGTGAAATTCCTCATGATGGCATTCCCTGAGGCATTCTGCCATCTGGTCCCAGCACACGCTTCCCAGTCCTTCCTGAAAACCTCCTGAACCAGTCAAATTAGGCCACTCCACAGCCCCTCAACATACAACCTTGCAGTACCGTCCTCCTGGAAAGTTCTTCCTCTCCTCTGCCTGGCAAACTGCTACCATAATTTAAAGCCTTTAAAGTTTTCTGCTACCTCCTCAGGACTCCCATGATGGCCACACTGACAACAGTGTGCCTAACACACTGTGTGAGTGGCACATGGCTCCATCTCCCAAATTGGACTGCCAATGCAGTGAAGGTGGGGATACCTTCTTCACCTTCATATCCCCAGGCCCAGGAACCACAGACTAGCAGCCCTCATGACCATCTGTTGAATGAAGATGTTTCAACTGCTCTCACCAGAGTCAGGGCAATGGAGAGCAGGTCAGTGAGCCTTGGATACCCAGTGAACAGGGATGTCCAGATCATCATTAAAGAAAGTGCAGGAAGGGGGCTTGTATGGCCCTTGCCTTTAAATACATATGCATTTAAAGCTAACTATCCAATCTTTAAAAGTACCAGGAAAGAGTCCACAACTACCCTCAGGAACACACACCAGAGCTAGTAAAGCTCGCCTTCTATCTAACCCAAGTTCCTTGGGCTCCATCACACCTAAAAGGGAGCCACGTACCCTCTGCACAACCCAGGCAGCCAATCTCTCTTCAACCAGACAAGTCCACCTGTAGCACTTACCACTTCCACAGCCACTCTCTCAATGTCAAAATCCAGCAAGCGTTTCCAGAATGCTTACTATAATGGGGACTACTCTCCAGGAGCTTACAAAGCGGACAGTGCCAGCCCTACCTAACCAACTTCTCAATAAGGCAGACCTGAGCAGCAGTAAAATAAAACCCCTTGCCATCGAATGGATTCTAACTCACAGTTACCCTATAGGACAGAGTAGAACTGCCCCAGAGGGTTTCCAAAGCTGTAATCTTTATGGAAGAGACTGCCACATCTTTCTCATGCAGAGTTGCTAGTGGGTTCAAACCGCCAACTTTCTGGTTAACAGCTGAGTGCTTAACCACTGTGCCACCAGGGCTTCTTAGTAAAATAAAGGGGCAGCCAAAGGTGCTCTCTGGTGTGGAGGGGAAGAGAGCTGTCCCCATCAGGGAGCAATCTGGAGCAAGACTCTGCTTCCACAGACTCTACACAAAGCCTGCCATTAGCATGCAGCAGAGAATGTCACCCCTCACACCGGAATCCCAATGCTTCAAGATCCTCAAGGGCAGGAGGGCCAATGTCTGCTGCATATCTGTAAGGACAAGGCCAAGCAATGGGCCTGGCTACAAATGCTTTACTCATTATTTCACCAATATTTACTGAGTACCCGGCACACAACGGTGTAGATGCTGGTGACAACAGTAAGCAAGAGATCACAAGTCTCTGTCTTCATGGAGTTCACTTTCTAGTACGGGAGGCAGAGAAGTCCATAGGTAATTATGAGAACGCCATAACTGGGGCAATGGGGGCAGTGGTGGTTCAGTGGTAGAATCCTGCCTTCCATGCAGGAGACCTGGTTTGATTCCCACCCAATGCACCTCATGTGCAACCATCACCTATCTGTCAGCGGAGGCTTGTGTGTTGCTAGAATGCTGAACAGGCTTCAGTGGAGCTTCCAGACTAAAATAGGCTAAGAAAAAAGGTCTCGTGATCTACTTCTGAAAATCAGCCACTGAAAATCCTATGGATCACAACAGTCCAATCAACAACCGATCATGGGGATGGTGCAGGACTGAGCAGCAAAACCACTGTCCACGGGGTTGCCATGAGTAGTGGGCTGACCCAACAGCCGTTAACAAGCCATGACTGGTGACTTAGGGGTTAAAATTGGAGCCATTATTCCCTGTCCTTGAGTATAAAGAATGTGACCCAGCTGGAACTGGACTCACAAGGACACATCAACTGGGCCCCAAGGTACAAAAAAAATAGCTAGAACAATCTTGGAAAACATCTTTTAGGGAAACTTTCACATAAGCAGAGCACAAAAGACCTACATATTTTCCACCCTTATCTTTTTCTACTGGCATTTAGTAAACAGTAAAATTTGTTGGACCAGTGAAGACCCTCCTGACATTACTGAAATTTGTACCAATGGTTATTAAGAAAGACAAATCAAAATGTAGAATCACGGTGATTTAGCAGTTTTTAGCCAATCTGTGAAAAAGTGAAACTTTTAATGTTTTTACCCATTTGTAATGTTAATATATACCGATGATTCTGTAACATTCTTTGGACTCAGGCAGGCATGGCTCTGGCGGCATGCTTGTCTGTTTCCTACTTTTGCCTCTTGGAACATATGCCAAATAAAATTTCTTTTTGCTTTACTGTAACTTTGTGGTGATTTTACACTAGGACATTGGGCAGGACCCAGGGGATGCTTCCCAGTCGTGGCAGGTCAGAATAGACCTGTGTTGCCAATGTGTGTATGTGTGTACTCATGTCAGGAGGATGCAGGGGCTGGAGGACAACATGGGCACCAAACCCATGATTGTCCACATTGCAGGAAAGGGGGAATCTCAGGACAATCCTCCCACTCCATTTCTGGTCTGCTCTCATCTTACAGATAAGGAAACTGAGGCTGAAGGAGGCACAGCAAGTCAGAGCCAGGACCAGAACTCGGGTGGCCACTATCCCTGTCAAGCTTTCATTACAGCCTAGAGTTTAAGAGGGCTGCCAAAAGGTTGGCAGTTCGAATCTGCCAGGCGCACCTTGGAAACTCTATGGGGCAGTTGTACTCTGTCCTATAGGGTCGCTATGGGTCAGAATCAACTTGACCGCAACGAGTTTGGTTTTTGGTTTTCCAGAATCAGACTGCGGATTCCATTCCTGACTCTGGCACTTACCAGCTGTGTGGCCTTCAGCAAATGACCAGCTCTCTGTGCCTGTTTCCTCAACTGTAAAACAGGCCTAAAAACAGTACCTATCTTATGGGGCTAAGCAAATCAAATTTACTAATGTAAAGCAATTAGCACAATGCCTGGGACTTGGTGAACGGTACATGAGTGATGCTGCCGGTATTACTATTACTGCACGACTACTCTGTGCGCCGCGTGAGCTCACGACCCGGGCTCTTTCCGCTGCCGCCCGCCTCATTCTCTACCGGCTCCAAGACGCTTCCACCCTCGACGCCCGGACGGGCACGCCAGCCTTGCAGTGAGGAGCCCAGGGGCCCTAAACGCTCGGACCAGAAAAGGCCGTGACCCCCAGCCGCCGGCCTGGCAGGACGCACGCGCGAATCGCGCAGGACTGAACCGCCAGCGCGCGCCTCCGGCCCCGGGAATGAAGGGGGCCAACCCGGGGAGAGGAGAGGGAAGCGGCCACACCCCGCCCGGGAGAGGGAGGAGGTCCAAAAGCGGAGAGGGAGCCGCTCCTGGACCAGACTGGCGTCCCAGGACCCCCAAACCCCAGCCCAGAGAGCGGGTCAGTTCCTCACACTCTGCAGCAGACTCCTCCTCTGCGCCGCCATCTTGGAGGGACCCCCGTGGTTGCTCCCGCCTCCCGGCAGAGCAGGCGAGAAAGGCGGCTAGAGCGGCCTGAAGGAGGCGAGGACGACCGCGTTGCCAGGGAGCATGCGCCCGGCGCCACCCTACGGCCGAAGTGGGTTAGGGCCGTCGCGGGGTGTGTGCGGAAGCGCGCTCCCCTAACCTTTTTTCTCTTGGGAAATTGAAAGAAGGCTATGTTGTACCTGTACGTTTTACAAAGCGTCCTCCCATTCTTATATGACTGCCTCTCACCCATCTCTATTTGCGCACTTTCTCAGGGGTGCCTTTCAAATGAGACTGGATTGTTGTTGTTGTTAGGTGCCGTCGAGTGGGTTCTGACTCATGGCTACCCTATGTACTACAGAATGAAACATGGCCCGGTCCTGAGCCATCCTCGTGATGGTTGTTATGTTTGAGCCCATTGTTGCAGCCACTGTGTCAATCCATCTCGTTGAAGGTCTTCCTCTTTTTCGCTGACCCTCTACTTTACCAAGCATGATGACTTTCTCCAGGGACTGATCCCTCCTGACAACATGTCCAAAGTATGTAAGACGTAGTCTCACCTTCCTTGCTTCTAAGGAGCGTTCTGGTTGTACTTCTTCCAAGACAGATTTGTTTGCTCTTCTGACAGTCCATGGTATATTCAACATTCTTCACCAACACTGTAATTCAAAGGCGTCAGTTTTTCTTCGGTCTTCCTTATTCATTGTCCAGCTTTTCCACACATATGATGCGATTGAAAATACCATGGCTTCGGACAGGTGCACGTTACTCTTCAAGGTGACATCTTTGCTTTTCAACACTTTAAAGAAGTCTTTCACAGCAGATTTGCCCAGTGCAATGCGTCTTTTGATTTCTTGACTGCTGCTTCCACTGGTGTTGATTGTGGATCCAAGTAAAATGAAATTCTTGACAACTTCCATCTTTTCTCCATTTATCATGATGTTGCTTATTGGTCCAGTTGTGAGGATTTTTGTTTCCTTTATGTTAAGGTGTAATCCATACTGAAGGCTGTAGTCTTTGATCTTCATCAGTAAGTGCTTCAAGTTCTCTTCACTTTCAGCAGGCAAGGTTGTGTCATCTGCATAATGCAGGTTGTTAATGAGTCTTCCTCCAATCCTGATGCCGCGTTCTTCATATAGTCCAGCTTCTCGGATTATTTGCTCAGCATACAGATTGAATAGGTATGGTGAAAGACTACAACCCTGAGGCACACCTTTCCTGACTTTAAACCATGCAGTATCCCCTTGTTCTGTTTGAACAACTGCCTCTTGATCTATGTACAGGTTCCTCATGAGCACAATTAAGTGTTCTGGGATTCCCATTCTTTGCAATGTTATCCATAATTTTCTATGATCTACACAGCCGAATGCCTTTGCATAGTCAATAAAACACAGGTAAACATCTTTCTGGTATTCTCTGCTTTCAGCCGGGACCCATCTGACACCAGCAGTGATATCCCTGGTTCCATGTCCTCTTCTGAATCTGGCCTGAATTTCTGGCAGTTCCCTGTCAATATACTGCTGCAGCCATTTTGAATGATCTTCAGCAAAATTTTACTTGCGTGTAATATTAATGATATTGTTCGATAATTTCTGCATTTGGTTGGATCACATTTCTTGGGAATAGGCATAAATATGGATCACTTCCAGTCTGTTGGCCAGGTAGCTGTCTTCCAAATTTCTTGGCATAGACGAATGAGTACTTCCAGAGCTGCATCCATTTGTTGAAACATCTCAATTGATATTCCTGGATTAGGGTTCCTGTATTTTGTGAATCCGTGTAGTATACTGCCTTTGGAGTCCTTGGGTGGTACAAATGGCTAAGTGTCCACTACTAGCCAAAAGGCTGGCAGTTCGAACCCACCCAGAGGCACCTTGAAAGAAACATCTAGTGATCTGCTTCCGAAAGGTCACAGCCTTGAAAGCCCTGTGGAGCAGTTCTACTTTGCACACGTGGGGTCGCCATGAGTAGGAATCGACTGGATGGCAACTAACAACAACATGCTGCCTTTGGAAATTTTATCCAAAGTCATGAGCATCCATTGGCTTTTATGATCTCCACAGTTTAACTACTTATTAAATCACCTTTTAAATCTTCCTTTAAAATGCTTGTTTGTAATTAATCTAACTCTTCTTGTGAGGCATTAGTGGTTTAGTGGTAGAATTCTTGCCTTTCACACAGGAGACCCTGTTTGCTCTTTAGGCACAAACACCGCCCATCTGTCAGGGGACGTTTGCATGTTGCTCCGATGCTGAACAGGTTTCAGTGGAGCTGACAGACTAGGAAGAAAGGCCTGGTGAACTACTTCCAAAAATCAGCCAATTAAAACCCTATGGATTGCAATAGTCTGATCCCAAACCAATCGTGGCGATGGTGCACAACAGGACAGCATTTTGTTCCACTGTGTGTGGGAACCGCCATGAGTCAGGACCAACCGAACAGCAGCTAACAACAACATGAACACAATAGCTGGAATAGGGAATGCATGTTCATTCATTCACTCAACAAATACTCCTTGGCTGACCATGCCTGGACCTACAGTGGGCACAGGGCATAACACAGCACGCAAAACAGGCCCTCAAAGCTAACATTTTAATTGGAGAGGTCAACGTTTTTATATGTTACATTACATAAATTTCTTCAAATGGTGTTAAGTACTAGCAAAGAGATGTTTATGGATAGTGGCATGGAAGTGTGGGACAAGGATCCAGTCTGTGGAAGCTATGCTTGGGCTGAGAACTGAATAGGTGTCAGCTGCCAACAGGGAAGGGCTGACCAGGCAGAGGGGACAGCTAGTGCAAAGGGCCCAAGGAAAGAGAGAGCAGCTGGGTGCAAGAAGCTGCCAGAAGGCTGGTGTGACTAGAACAGAGGGGGAGGGGGAGTGAGGTGAAGGGGTTGGGGTGAAGAGGCAGCCTCTGGCCATTTAGGCTGGTCTTGGTTATCTAGTGCTGCTATAACAGAAATGCCATGAGTGGATGCCTTTAACAAACAGAAATTTATTCTCTCACACTCTAGGAGGCTAGAAGTCTGAACTCCGGGTGCCAGCTCCAGGAGAAGGCTTTCTCTCTCTGTCAGCTCTAGGGGAAGGTCCTTGTTATCAATCTTCCCCTGGTCTAGGAGCTTCTCAGCACAGGGACTCTGTGTCCAAAGGACGCATTCCCCTCCTGGTTCTTCATTCTTGGTGGAAAGAGGTTCCCATCTTCTCTGCTCAATTCTCTCTTTACATCTCAAAAGAGATTGACTCAAGATACAACCTAATCCTGTAGATTGAGTTCTGCCTCATTAACATAACTGCCTCTAATCCTGCCTCATTAACATCATAGGGGTTAGGAGTTATAACACATGGGATAATCCTATTAGCTCACAAAATGGTGGACAACTACACAATACTGGGAATCATGGCCTAGCCAAGTTGACACACATTTTGGGGGCATACAATTCAGCCCATAACAAGGCCCCAGGCAGGAGTTTGATTTTTCATCCCTAGGACAACAGGAAGTGGTTGCTGACTTCTGAGAAAGGCAGTGACATGATCCTATTGGTAGAAAGATCACTTTGACTACTGCCTACAAGACATATTTTTATGGGGGTTGGAGTGGAAGCAGAAAGACCAATTAAGGGAGTATTGCTATAGCTCTAAGCAAGAGATGATAGTGGTTTGAAATGGTTGATGGCAGTGGGTGGATTTTATTTAGGAGATAAAATTGTGAGGGCTTGATGATGGAGAGGTTGTGGGTGGTGATGGGAAGAGATGTGTCAAACATGTCTCCCATACTTCTGGCAAGAGCATCTAGGTTTGGGGGTATGAGAAGGGAATGACCATGAGTTATATTTGGACATGCTGAGTTAGAGGTGTTTTTGAGACATGTAAGTAGAAAAGTCAAGTCAATTGTTGGACAGAGGAGACTAGAGCTCAGAGCAGAGGCAAAGATACAGTAAAGAGTGTATAAGGCGGGTGTGGGCAACAGTGTGAGATGCTTGTGAGAGCTCTAGTTAGAAGAGAGCAGAAGAAAGCCCATTAGATTTAGTGGTCCAGAGGCCTTTGGCCCAGGCAATTCAGGTAGGATGTAGGACCCAAAAATCAAACAAACCAACATCAGTGTCGTCAAGTTGATTCCAACTCATAGCAACCCTACAGGGCACAGTAGACTGCCCCATAGAGTTTCCAAGGCTGTAAATCTTTACGGAAGCAGACTGCCCCATCTTTCTCCCACAGAGTGGCTGGTAGGTTCAAACCACTGACCTCTTGATTAGCAGCCGAGCACTTACCCACCACACCACCAGGGCTCCTCAGGATGTAGGACAGAAGCCTAGATCCAGTGAGTTGAGGGATGGCTGGGAAACGGAGGCATGGAGACCTGAGAATAGGTGGTTCTTCCCAGTTGGTGGACTGTGAAGAGGAAGAGACAGAAAAGGGAACGTGGGAGGGGACGTGGGATTGAGAGAGCGTTTTTCTTTTAGGCTGGAAGAACCTAAACATAAACCTGCTTAAATACTGAAGGGAAGGCTTAATAGAGAAGAGCTGATGATTCAGAAGATAGAGAGTAGGGGTGGGAGGCAGCCTAGTGCTGGGATGGTGACTCACGATCTTGCTGTCCTACCAACATAGCACCACATGACTCAGGATGGCTGCTCCAGCCATTTTGTCTGAGTTCAGCTAGCAGGTAGGAGGAAGGTAGGAAGATGACACCTCCCTCCCTTTCCTTTTTTTAAAAAAATAAACATTTATTTGCAAGATGTGTGTCTTCCCTTTTAAGGAGACTTCTGGAGGTTCCATATGATGCTTCTACTTACATCTCATTGGCTACAACCTAGCCCCATGGCGATATCTAGCTGCAAGAGAGGCAAGGAAATGCAAGCTTTGGACTGAGCAACCACATGCCCAACTACAAATGGGATCTGTTACTAAGGCAGGATTGGGGAATGGACACCAGGAGGCTGTGAGCAGTCTCTGCCATGAAGAGGGGAGGAGGAAAAGAGGCAGGTGGTTTGTCTGTTGAAGGAAAGCCTGGAAAGAATAAGGATTTGGAGCTCAACCCACCTCTATTTTAA